AAGCTAATGTTATTCATTCAATATTTTTAAATAAGTGTCTGTCATAAGTGTCTGTCAAATAAATAAGTATCTGTCATGTAATTGATTGATTAATTGCCCTTTGATTGAAGGCAAATTGACGGATCGATGAAAAGATATTTCTTGGTGTTAAAGGTTTCCTTTGATGAAGGAAGTCATCAAGAGTAATGAAAAGGATGAAGGTCAACATCAAATCTACTTCTTTTTGAAATCTAACAGAAATATACAGAGGGAAATCATATTACACATGTCATCATAACGTGAGAACTCAAACATCATTGCATAATGGGACTTCACATTTACAGTACCATCCTCTGTTGAAGTGTTTTTATCCATCCTCTTTGTATTAGTATCAGTCACTATTTATTATAATGTTTCATTGCATGCTACAGTACTTGTTTCATAATTGATTCGGGCACTTATTGTACAGTGAGAATTTTTTCTTTTTTTTAATTATAACGATTATTAAGGCTAATTACGATATCACAAACGAAACAAATCATTTTCAATTTTCATTCCTGTCATTCTGCCCAAAAATTACTGATAACTGGAGTGAATTATACCAAATGGGAAAAAGGAGTAATTCGAAAAATTCAATAAGGGAAAGAAAAGATAAGGATTTCGTTACACCCCGATAATTCCTTCTGGATTCTCTCTTTCAAAAATTTTCTTTCCCTTGACAAATTGAACATGTATGGGAAATGACAGGTGTTTAGGCGGGAACGATTTTATTTGCAGCAATTAAAAATTTGTGAAAGAATCAATATAATACAATCAATATATACTCAATATATAAAATCAATGTATACAAGTATCAAGAAATAAAGATTTCAAGAATTTTTTCTCTTTCAACTCCATTAATGCAAAAATATAGCATAGTTTTTGCTTGCATGTACAGTACTATTTCAACCAAATAATAAACAACAATAAATTATGCATAAAATTTCGGCACAAATCAAGAGATAGCCGAAAATTAAACGATTGTAAAAATAATATGGATAGGGAAGATTGCCATGAATTTTGATTAGTTATAAAACAACGGTAAATTCAAATACTGTGAATACTGCTCTCGCTTTTTATAGTTTAAAAAAAGAAAAGTGAGACGAAGTTGGTGTTGTTCATTGTTGAAACCATTAACCACGATTTAATTAAGCTGATATTCATCCATTCATATTATACAAAAGTTGGTTTGTTGATCAGTTGTATCATTCGTTCTAAATAGACGACATAGATATCTATCCATAAAGTTTATGAAGAGTAAAAGTGAAATTGACGTGAGATGATAGAAAAAAAAAATTCTTACTTATGCATGAGTTTAATAAAAAAATGATGCACGTGCCGTTGACGAATGAACAATACCATAGATCATAGCAGCACCTGGTTGACAATACGTAATGAATGAATTTTCCTATAACGAATAAAACATCATCTTTTTTGTGTTGGAAGAAAGATAATAAAATTAATTGTTCCTACACGATTTCATTGCCAATAATTGAACTGCTAAACATTTAAGATGATGATGAATATGGCAATGTAATCGAGGGTTACCATTTTTTCACAACTGAAGAACATACTGGTAGATAATAAGGAACCGACGACGCAATACCATATCCAATTCCGTATCCGATTCCGCATCCAGTTACATATCCAATCGTGTATAAAATCCCATATCCAATTCCGTATCTGAATCCGCAATCAGTTCTGTGTCTATTTGTATAACTAGTTCTGCTCCTTTGTACAATTTCGTTTCCAGTTCCATATCCGATTTCG